CCCCAAAACCCCAAAACCCCAAAACCCCGCAGGTCAAAATAATTGAAAGTTTAAAGTGAATGAAAAGCATTAATTAAAGAAAATTAAGAATTATCATAAATTAGTATAAAAATTATAACTCTGAAGAAAAATGATGATAATCATGACATAGCAGTAGAAAGCGAGTGAGTAGCAGGATGATAAAAAGCCGCCCAACTTCATCAGGCAATCTCACGCTTCATCCCTTGTAAGTATATATAATTTTGATGATTGAATTTCGGTTAGTAAAATTTAATGGACAAAGTTTCAAATTCTTACAATGAGCCTAATGATTAATACAAAGTGATTCCCAACATTGCGACAGTTTCAGCCAACCAGCGCAGAGAAGGCCAGGCGTTCTCTCAGTCAAGGCAAAACAAGATAAATCAAAACAACAGACCAGTAAGTACTTAAAAATCCTAAGTAATTGGAATGTAGACTACCTAATTTTCTTTGTCGCCATATCATTACTCTGGAGCTGGGGTTTAAAACAATAATGGTTCAGTTGAAGATGGAATAAGAATAGGTGCGGAAAATAAAAAATCTATTCTCGCAATATAGGGATAAAATAGGAATACCAATATTGATTTGTTAGCTAAGAAAAGGTAGTGGGAGTAAGATAAGAGAGGGACATTGATAAGCGCTGATGCCTCTTGACTCTATCAGACCTCTAACAAAATTAACAACGAAATAGATAAAAGACTGTAAAATGGGCAACCAGTATAACATCGAGAGTCACTTTAATCCAGACTATTAGAGCGAATCACTATCAAGAAGCAAGCATAAAACGAGATATTTCTACAGGAAGAGATATCTAGTGAAGAAGAGGAAGACGATGGAGAAACTACAAATCACCAAGTTCAGGAGGAAGATTAAGAAGATGATGATGATAACAAGACTACTGAGAGGAAGAGTGTAGCTCACCATTCCAAGCGCAAAGGCACCTCAGACAGAGTTTACACACAGGACTATGATGATGAAAATGCTGCTGATATAGAAGATGCGGACAGAGTCGAAGATGATGAAGATGAAGAACGAGATCGATCAGTAAGTCAAATCAGAAAATAGAATAGAAAGCAGGGACTATTTAAAGAAGACCTAAATAGCAATACAGCAGCTGAGAGCATGAAAAAGAAGTTTCATTTTCATGTTAACTAAAAATAGTAATCTAGTACTGTATATGGGTCTAAATTCTTAGACTTCCGCAAAACCTTTTAAAATTTCAATGCTAATTCTAATAAGGCTCTAAATATATATGGTCTGTCGGAAAATTAATAATAATATACTACTCATTATGGTGGAAATTTCAAAGATGGTTTTAATAAGAAATCCAGCTTCTAAGCTGAAGATTAGTATGGAGGAATAAACATCAACAATGGAATCTATGGTAATCTCAATTCTAATTCAGCCAAAAATCAAACTTCTAGCACTAATAGGATGGATGGAAAGGGAGCTCCAGGATGGCATAAATTTGCAGTAACTTCAAACAATTTTTATGACCCAAGAACAAGTGGGACTAAGAATCAACCTTAAGAAAGCACAAATCTCATTCAGTACTAATAAAGGTTCCACTCTAACCGCAGGATAGAAGGAAATCATAATAACGTTGTAGCAAGCAATAATAACTATGGAAATAATTAGGTTAAGCCTTTGACTTAAGCGCCAGGAACAACTGGTGGAGCTTAAACTGCTGGCAGAAAAACCTTTTATGTCAGTGATTAGAATGTAAATCTCATAATGTAACATAATATGGCTTCGAGAGCAGGAGGAGTTCAAAATGCTCCTTACCAATAGATTGACAATAACGGATTCACAAAACCAAGAGCACTTTCAAGATAGGCAGATGCTCATATAAAAATAGAGGTTCACAGGGATGAAAACATAAAGAATCATCTCTAAAGAGAATAGAGAGAGAATATGAATCTTATGTTCTATGATTTTAATGGCTCGTCACAAAATCAAAACAGTACTGGTTAAAATTTCTATCAGAGTAATGGCAAGAGATAAAACAACAAGGTAGAGGGAGATAGATTACCAACCAGAGAAAGAGGGTATAGGAGTGCTTAGTAAAACATAAGGAGAAGAGTGGTTCCCAATTAAAATCACCTCCCTCAAAATCAATTTGAGGATCTAACTCAGAATGTATATTGAATTAAAAGAACTAATGACGAAGACCGTCATTGTTGTTAATTGTGAACTCTATTGCTCTATAAATATAGTTCTCTATTGTAAGTATGTATATAAATAAAATATTTAAAACTAATCATTCAAGCTCAAATAAAAGCTAAATGTAGTCTTTCGGGGTTTTGGGGTTTTGGGG